CATTCTTCATCACTTACCCCGACAAGCTATGGCATATTAGGATAGTGGTATATAGCAATACACAGGCGCATTAATATTGGACGATTGTTATCAGTCACGGTGGTGGTAAACAGTCGCGTAAACGTTTCCTTCTGGGTTATTTATTTAACAGACTGTCACATTTGTAACAACTTCGTATACAGTCTTATTAATGTCAATTATAAGAACACTTCCAACATTTTGAACCAACTTGCGTCTGTTAAATCCGTCACAAAAGGTCCTAAATGTCAAACGTATCGCCTTAAAACCCCAATATAGTCCTAAATTAGCCCGTTATAATTTCCATATGACTCATTAAAAAAGAGTGGAATAGCGTTGTATGTTTTATTTTCTATTAATTTCATATAAAAAAATAAAAAGGAGTGGCATAGGATGGCACGCTTTCTAAAATTAAACAAACTGAAAATAAGTGTTTAGTTTTATTTTCTTATTCTTTTCAAACGTTGACGACCAAAGTCTTCCAACAACTTTTTAACACTGCTTATGGTGGCTGTGTAGTCTATGCTTAACAACGATCTCAAATACTGTGCTCTTGTCTTTAATATTCGAGAGGCTCATTTCGTTTGTCATAATCCATGGCATGTTTATGGGCGCTGTATAGGCAGAACCTTATACACAGTTGGTGATTCAGAAATTTTGCTAAAAGGACGGTCATGGCACAACTCGTAAACTCACCAATATCAAAGTCAGTGAGAATACATTTGAATAGCTGTGTTAAGTCTGCACAGCAGAAGGAGACGGGCATGATTGACTATTGTTCCGGAAATAACGTTGTATCCTTAACAGAGAGATAAAGCGGGACCTATTTGGTGTTGCACGGGGGACCGATAAGGTTAATTCCACGCGCACTCGTAATAGTGCTGTCTTTCACCGGAAGTACAGGCCCGGCTCTACTGTACAAATCACATTTATCAACGGGAAATAAATAATTAAGTTGAATGCTTGTATACGTTTGCAGTTAACTTGTTTCCGGAAACACTTAATCTAGCATAGTCAAGACAACATTTTCGTCAAATTAAATATATTTTCGAGAAAATACGGTCACATCCAAAACATAATGTTTTAAGACTGTAGTATCGATATCAATGGGGTGAGGAACACCCTTTTGTCATGTGATTCTCAAGGGATCACGTGACATCGCCCCAAAGCAATCGCATCCGTTCTGTTGTTGAAAAAATGTCTTGAAAATTCAGACAAAAACTGCAAGGTAAGCACATTTACGTTGAATGTCGCGGTTTAGACATAAAATCGAACTATCAATGTCATTTAAACTGTTAAAGCGATGTTTTGTATCCACGTGTATATTTTACATAAATTGGATAAATGTTGTCATTACTGACAAACCTAGATTAGTAGCTTTATCCCTGTAACTGCTGCCATTGCGCTGTTGTGTTTGAATGATCGGTATGGTGGCCCCGCAAGCGTTTCAGAGAAGTTGTTTTTTATTACCTGAAAATTGTAAAGGAACCCTGATGAATAAATGGGTTTCTGTCGAAAGGAAGCGTTTCGGCAACATAAAATGTCAGATGATAATTAAAGTGAGAACTAGATAGCAAACAGGTGAAATGGTAGGAGTATTTCAGAATGATAAACAGTAACAAGTATAATATCCAAAGTGACACAGTCAGGCAGATGAAAGTTCTACTGCCTGTTTCTATTCCGTCTTTGCGTATTGCAGAGTTATCTTCTCTTGGGAGCAGGTATTGATTGTTACGTCACTTGTTTGTGAGAGTAACGTCATCAATTTTTGAGAAAACGACGTAATTTTCTCACACAAACCAATGACGTAACAATCAATACCTGCTCCCAAGAGAAGATAACTCTGCAATACGCAAAGACGGAATAAGCTACATTTCCTTTGCAAACCATAGATTCCTATTGAAAGTGAGAATACAAGATTACTAAAGCATACTAAATTTAAAGAAATGTATTTAACTCGTCTAGATACGAAACTATCGGTGATCAAGTCCACCTCGTGGTAGAAAACGATTTACGCTTGGCGTTTTGGATGAATCACAGCTCTAGTTAATTAACTCATTTGCCCCTGAAACTTTTAAAATAAACTATTTCAACGTTTGAATTGGAAAAGTTCAAATGTGTCTTCAGGGGGGAATTAGTTAAAGCCGAATGTAGATTGTATATACATGTAATAATTGAACTTTCATTAAATTTTAACGTTTTGCCTCTGACGTTACTCTGTCAAAATACCACCGATTTTTCCTAATCGGACAACTACAATCAACTATCCTAACACGTTTCTGCCTTACATTAGTATCACTTCTTTCTTTGTCAGTTCGCGTGTAATGACGGACACCTCGAGATTTTATATATGTCGAGTGCTACGTGTTTGTTGTCGTCACAGGCCGTCATGATTCTCATTCCCTGTTCAGGGTAACTGAGGCAAAGAAAGACTGTATCAACCCTTCTTACTCTTATTACAGAACTACTTAACATTTTATACTCTATAGGAAAATTAATAATTAATAGGAAATAGTTTAAATGTTTCGTGAATCTGGGGTCATATCGTATCACACTGGTTATAAGGCAGAGGAGGAGTCAAAACATTAGTTATATAGTTAATTACTGACCCCCTTTATAACTGATGAAGGTCATTTACTAAATAACCAAATTATTGCATCAAGGACACTCAAGAGCGGTTTAGTGGAAATATATACAAGTCCTGACAATATATGCCTTATTATTTTATGCTGTGCTGCATAGTCAGTCTAAGCATGCTTGACAGCGGGTTTATTTACTCTTTGAAATGACCTACTGACAATTTACGTTTTATCGTCTGCCTAACTGCTCAGTCTCTGTCTTTTAAACGCTTGAAAACAGCGATTGTGATATGGCCTCCCTTGTTCTTCAATTTTGCACCCAGTAACATAGGGGAGGCATATCATCTTAAATTACGTAACAGTTAATAATGAAGCGGAAATTAGCCGATGTTGGAATCTCAGATGAAATTATTTTTTTGTCAGTTTTGATATGACGGACATAGGCGCCGCCATGTTGCCCTTGTACCTCCAAAGAAAATTAAAGGATCACCACGTAAATTTCTGGACGTTCTTGTCCTAAGTTGATAAAGGTATAATATCTGTAGAAATACAATGCTAATAATAAATTTGATATCTTATTTATTTGACAAATCGGCTGATTTTAAGGTTTATCGACGCTGTAGATCAACATAGTCTTTCGTACACCACTGACGATGACTGAGGAGCGCAAGATAAACACTTGAACTATGCAACATCCTTTAATTCCTCAGCACTCTTCCTGAATTCGGCGATTAAAAGAAAAAAATACCAATAAAGACATAAAACAAAAAAAGTCATTGCAGATTATACGATATGATTTCAGAATATTAACTTATGGCTGCCTTAATATTGCCATAAACATATGCTTGGCAGAGATAGTTGTAGCTCCGTAGCCCAGTCATAAGAGTTATCTATTTTATTCCCCGACTTAATTCTCCCGTTACTGAAGTGGATGGCTTGTTACAAAGCAATGTAATGTGGTCCTAATGCCCCTTCTCCTGCCGTGACTTGACAGTAACGATATATCATAGGCCATTGATTTCGGGAAATAGTGTGGATTTTTTAAACTGTCTGACAAAGTGACGGATTCTGGTGCATTGACGCAATGGTATGCATTACGCTACTTCAAAGTCTGCAAAATAATGACGCATAACTCAACGGTTTGCATTAGCTTATGGGGGTAATCTTCTTGTGTGACAGAGGTACAATGTAGGTCCTGTTGTAATTTCCCGGGTATTTACATCTGTATAAGGGTTTCTTGTTTCTCGTGCTATCGAGTGGCGCAGTGGTTAGGGCATCCGTCTGTCACAAAGACGAAGGCGTTCAATTTCTTCATCGGGAGTGAAAATGATCGAATCACCTCCTTTCAATCACGTGGGGTTTTCCCATGGTTACTCTATTTTCCTTTCAAATTTAGACACCATGCTCACTTCCATACGGGCAAACAAGAGTGATTTATAAATGTCTACTTTTATAAATCTTTCATAATTATTATGAAATGAATAATGTTAAGTATTAAACTCGTTCTAGGATCAGCGTGCTAGATTCTGGGGCGCTACCCTTGTGGTAAGGATCACAATTATGAAAGGACATGGGTGAGGAGAAAAGTTTGATGCGTTTTGTGAGAATATTCACACGAGAGTAATGCCGGTGGAATTTATTCATGTAATTTCCCGGATATTGAGACACGGAGAGATCATATTCTCCATATCGACAAATCTATGAATATCTGGCCCTGCGTATGATTCAAGACTGGGATTCTTCGCCTCTTATGAATAAGCGCATTGACAACGGCATGACACTGGGTCACGGATGGAGGGCCAATTAATCATATTGTTGCATGACAATGTACTCCGTAACTGGCTAGATTAATTAGGCAATATGCTATCCGACTAGTTACTTCTATGATTTCTCCCCAGAGCCGCCGCAGCGACAGACCGACAGAGGGCAGCACTCGCGAGCCTCGATATCGGTGTCCACGGGACGGATGAGCCCCGACTACGTATACCCTAGGCTTGCCGAGTGCCCTCCCTCGACACATATATTATCAACGAATACGATAATTGTTTTTTAAATTATCTGAAATTTTTCAATGAGTATCCGAAAATACTGTTATCAGATAATGGAAAAATATATATCAACCATAGCCTCTCTTATATAGGACGCAAATATGTTGTAGAAGTTATATTTAAGTTTTATAAATATATCACTTTCATTATCTGTATCTATCTCAGAAAACTTGATCCAAAATCTAAACATTTAGTAGGCGTAGCTAGTCGAAGACGACAAACCGCTTAAGAAATATATTTAAGAAATAGGCCAAAATACTTGGAAAATAATTTCAAACATCTTCCTCTTAGGATAAACGACTTCTCAAGTAGACAAGGCGTTGTAGAATTTCTTCTTTACTTGCCCAGATAAACGTAGCTAGTGACACAGCGAGGATCTGGGTTTATGACCGTAATTTCGTCTCATTTCGTGCACGCTGCACTCTCAAAGTAAGCCCTACCGTCTTAGCGCAGTCGAATTGAGTAAGATCTGGATATGAAGCGGGTTTACATGATAAGTGGATAAAAAATCGGATCTTGTGAAGAATTTTGTTTCTTAATAATTCAACGTGTTTAAGCCAATGTGTGGTTTTGGATTTTATGGTTGAACGATAGATTTCTGAAATGGTTGTGATACAAGGAAACTTGTAAGTTTTATTCATGTGATAATCCTGTGTGTAAGTATACACGAATGGGGTTTTATATGGTTTGCATATGTCGTTGGAAGTAATTTAGAGATGATTCCTTCTAAGTATAATGGGAACTTGTTCTAAAAAATTAAATAACTTGATTAAGTTTCACAGAATTACTTGTAAAATAGCGGACATAATTGTACCACAGTTTAATTTGCTGCTAGTATTTTACAACATACATGACATTAATATTGCGAAGGTACCAGCGAAGATAATCATCGAACTGCTGATATCTCGTAATAGGGCAAATGTGGTTCTATCGCTTCAGGTTCCTGCAAACACCGGATAATCGATTATATAGAATTCCAATTCGTCTCCTTCTAGGCTACCAACATATTTTAAGGATAAAACACTAAGAAGCTATGAAACTTCGTTTTCAATAAGCCTTCATGTACTGTATGCTATTCGAAATCGACATGTTTTAATAATAATGTGTGTAAAAAAGGCTAGAAACTCAATCCTACAACTACCCACAGTAAAATATTGCAGACATTGCTTCTCAAATATTACGTATTGTATTTGAAGACGTAAAGGCCAGTGGCTAATTTAATAAACATGTTTTGCTCATTTCGACAGAATCTGTAGCTTGATTTCGTTTTCAGTTGTCTCGACAAACATTCCTAAGGTTTGAGCATACAAATGCCCTTATATAACACTAGACCCGCTACCCTCGGGAGCTCCCACAAATGTTTGCGCACGACTCTAGGAGGGTTCGCGGTCAATGGCAAAAGGTCGATAATTTAAGACCTCGGAGAGTATATGTTTACGTAGACCCTCCATTTGGGAGCCTGAGGACGACCAAAGTGTCCGTGGTCGATACACAGTTTAGCCTTGTTTCAATATATAATATTTTTCGTCAACTAGATCTATACCTCGTTAGCGAGTCATTGCGTTGTGGCTAGGGATATCATGTCATTGGTAATTTGGTTCTCAGCGACTCTAAGTACACAAGTTATGCTCCTTAATGAAGCCAATATATCTGTTATTCTATAACGACTGGTGTTGTTTCTCCTTCCGCTAAACCGACCTGACGGCGGCGCGCCAGTAGAAGAGAAACCATACGTCAGTCGTCTGCTATAACGAACACACTACACGTTCTGTCGTCTTATATATCATTAATAATAACCCATATTCACCTTAAGGTAAAATAGTTGAAGCCAATAAGGATGGTTAATACGTCTGCCGCCGTTTGAACCTTGCACAGATGACAAATCCTTCTAACAGTGTAAGGTTATCTTTACTGGGTGCGGTGAATAATACATGTCGTAGTTTGTACAATTCATTGTGTCTAATCAAAATTGTGCTTAATTCTGTCGTATATGTTGATACATTTATTAAAACTTGTTTCGTCCTTTTCTTAATGAACTGTTTGATGGTTTCGGTTCAGACAGTTGTTACTGTATACATACTGTTGTATAACAATTAAATGTTTGTATATCCGTAAAATATAATCAAGATTTTACAAGTCGATGGATCTTTGGTAAGATAGAACTCTCAGGTCCTTACCAAGTCCAGGCATCTTCAATGTTCGAGATATTCGGTTTCACAATCTGGAACTTTCAAATATTTTGTGAATCGTGCAAAATCTGCAAGATCTTTTTTCAATTTTGTACTTTAAAACTGTTAAAAGTCCTCAGTATCCTTAAATAGTCGAATTCTTCTTAACTATACAAATTTTTAGAGAACTTATGACATTCAAGTTCGTCTGAACTGTACAAGTTTGCTAGTCCCTTGGACATTGCGTACTTCTGAACTATACGAAGTATTTTATATGTAACAGGATTTATTATTATTGAATGACTCTGCTAGAAGTCGAACCCGGGACGTCTGGTTTACTAGTCTTACACTCGACCGAAAGAGGCAAAGGGAATTTCTCCCTAGCAGAGTCGGTAGGAAGCGGCTAGTATTTTACCAGGGTGACATATATTTGCACCGAGCCTAAATGGTCAGGTAGTTCTGTGTTAAGTCTGAAAAACCCTGAAGGAGATCTAGAGGATCTGTAACTCTCAGACAAACATTAACGGCCGAGCAATTATCAAATACACCTACATACACGTACTGTATGCAAATTACCAGAGCCAAGAATGATCTAAAAGTTTTTAATTTAACACAGGTTAAGAGAGAAGCTGGAGTAGTCAATATCTTATCAAAAATATAACCTTTTCCTCAGCAGCAACGTTCAGAAACATGTCGTGTTGAATTTTATTTATCCTAGGCGAAACTCGGAATATCCTCTGCGTTTACCGATCGCGATAACACCTCAAGAGGGAGAGTCGGTAGCAGTGTCTGTAATGGGCATGGCTCTCGTGTCCTGAAATATCACATTATCTTTAAGACAATTAGCACTACCGTGTCAGCAACAACGTGTAATGAACGACTTTTTGTGCACAAATGTGTTTTTAATGACATATTCAAAAATCGAATTTTAACGATTCATGAAGTTTTAGCGCGACTGTTATTGGGTATTTTTTCAAAAAAGTGATGCTTTTTGTCAAATCATTTTAAAATGGATTTGTTGCATTGTGAATGAAATGTAAGATATACGATGTACATACTGTATCAATATATTTGGTGTGCCAATAATTGTCTTCTTTTCGAATGACGAGCTAGCACGTAAACAGCGGTGTAGTGCACAGGGACCCGAGACTTTGTTACAGTTGAGCTATGCTTGGGCCTAAACTGATGTGTTCAGGGCTATATTAGATCAGTTCGGGACTTAAATAAACATTTGTTAGAATGCCATCCCGAATAATGGGATAAAGTTTATACTGTAACACTAATTGGGTGGCATACAGCACCAAGCTACATTTACTTGAAATGCGCTAGATCACAGGGACATGAAACGTTTGATACAGTTTCGCTATGCATGGGTCTGAGCTAATGTGTATTGACGTTTTAAGCGTTTAGATAAGCTTCTGGTGAAAAAACCAGCCCCCCCCCCCCACCAATGGTGGTCCAAACATAGCTAGCGGTCTAGTGCATACAAGTTGCTGTGACAACTGGTGCCATGGGCTGTACACTTCTAACACTTGAAGTCATTCAGATGGTTTCCACTTGTCTATTTGAAGAAGACTATCATTTGTAACTAATTAACAACATGTTTACCATGTTCTAGAGTTAGTCTCCTGTACGTATCCTTTCCGGAAACGCGCTCCTTGAAAAAAGATGTTTAACGGAAATGGACCGAGATTTTTTATTATCACTTCGGCCAAGTACATACTTAAGATGTTGATACATTTATGATAAATCCTACCCATTACCGGATTTAACTTAACCTTTCATAATTACATAGCAAAAACGCACCTAACGGTTTTGCCTGGCTTACAAGAAACACCAGAATTCAAGAACATCAGTCATTTGTCTGTACCTGAAATTGACATATTTCAGTTATACTCTTAAAATTAACTTAAAATGATAATACTGAATGAAACGTGTTCATCTTGTGGAATTCTTTCCTTGTCCGATAGAGTATTTATCACATAATATGCTGTTTTTGTGTGTGATAGAATTCATTCTTATTGAGAATTCTGAGTGATGTTTGTATCAGTAAGGAATGGTCTCACGATGACGAATTCTGATTACAAATCATGTTCATAGAGAACTTAAGGGAAGATACAATAGTAGATATATTCTACTGTAAGGGAGTGAATTACTTGTGAGTTTTGCTATAAACATGTTTTACTGGAGAGAAATAATTACCTCGCCTAGGTCTCGCGGGGTTAGTTATAAACATGTTTTACTGTAGAGAACGGTATTATTTAGCTCCCCCCGCCCCTCCCCCTCTCCGGGTTCGTTATAAACATGTTAAGTGCAGAGAACTAATTTCTGATGTCTCCTTTTGGTCTTTATAAACATATTTTACTGGAGAGAACTCATTACTTATCCCCCCTCCCTCCCCCCTTGCGTTCAATGTAAACATATTTTACTGTAAAGAACTAATTCCTGATGACCACTAGGTTTTTTAAAAACATGTTCACCGCAGTAAACCTTCTAATATCACCTATAATTCATTATAAACCCATTGTAACGCCTCCGTTCCTGGGGTTATTAACACATTTGACGGTAGAGAAATAAGTTCTGAGGTTGTTTTTCTCTATAGTGAACTCATTTTGCGGAATTTTTCCTGTATGTAGAATTAACGTATTTTTTACACTACTATAATGTAAAACCATAATTTCCATTGTTTGAGCATAATATCAATTGTAATCTAATTACCTCATATCGGTCATAATTATACCCATTATATCATGTAAATTATCGGATCTTGACGGAAGTATATATTATACAAATACAAATTAGTCACATAAACAAATGATATTAAAAAAATATAAACATTGTTTCGATTTATTGTAAATCCTTCTCTCTGTGGTGCTAATTATACTTTCTGTGTTGTAGATGGCCCACTGGCGACGCCTGATGGACGTATCAAGGCGGAGCATCTGTCGGAGGTGTGGCCTACCGGAGGCCCTACAGGATCCGTACAGACTCTGGGACACCCTTCCCTGTCCTCCACCATGGAACAAGGAGATCATCTTCTCCACGGAATGGAATCGGCGGCTCGGACTGGAGGAAGGTCTACGAATCATTTTCAGGATAGCAAGACGGTGCAACATCACCACACCGGATACACACCAACTTCCGGGGCGCGTGGCGGCGTCCATGATTCTGACGTCATGTGAAGTCGGATGTCGCAGTGCTGTAGTACTCACGTGCCTGATTCTCCTTATCGCTGGCGTCATCATAGTGGCTTACCTAATATACACGTAAGTATTCATATAAAAACACCCTATTACCCTACCTTCATTTAACCTACGTTGTATACATAACATATGAGAGTATCATATACTGGTCTGGGTTTAGTTCTTCGATAGGACGTTAACACTAATGGGGTCACCTGCCCGATACGTGGGTTTTCTCCGGGTACTCCGGTTTCCTCCAACATTAAGAACCCCCGCGGGCTAACATCCGGGCCAACATGAATGATTTTTATAAGTTGATATCATTTGTTTTATAATCATTGTAAAATAAACAAAAGTTTTTATTTATCATAGTGACCTACCTAGTAAAAGTATACACGGGCGTACCTCAACACATGCCACACTTTGCACATCACCAACCTTACAGAACACACACAATAACACCAAACACACACCCTTATTTTGAAGTCGAGGTGTAAAGACTAATTTAGCGCTAATAAAATATTAATGATCTTCAATTAACCTTAAATAATCTTCTTTTTTTGCCGTTCACACTTTTCGTCTAATTTGACAATTAACACCAGCAACTGTTAAAGGGGATATAACTCTAGTATGAATACAAACAATACCAGATTCGGTCGTCGTCTAATTCGACAATTAGCATCAGAAACTGTTAAAAGGGATATAACTCTAGTATGAATACAAACAATACCAGATTTGATCGACGGCAGATAACCCCTGTTTCCTAGAGATCACGTTTGAAATATTCTAACATTACTGGAAATTTCAAACTGCACCATTTTCAATTTGAATTAACGGGTATTTTTTTTTGTCAAGTTTCACATAATGGTAATGTCACTATGTAGAGATGATCTTATGAATATCTAAGCATTTTGATAAACTGTTGATTTTTTTGTAAAAAATTCCGAAAAATTGAATTCTTGTCAACTTTAACACTTTCACATTTTTTGAGTGTGTGGCATTGTTCAAAACAATTACAACAATAAAACACAATGGGGTTATATGACGGATAAACTTTCAAGTAATTTAGATACTGTTCATACTTTTAAGTACTTTTTGTAAGTTATACATTTAGAATAATATTTCAAAATGTATTAATCAAAATTGGGGTTAGTTGTATCTACATATATTTTGTTGACAAACAATCTGGAAGGATCTCTACTGTTTTTGTTGAGATAATGCAATATTATACATATAATTCTAATCTAAAAAACATTTAAACAACAAAGTTCCCAAAATGCCTTCCATATTATGAGAGACTGGTGAAATACATGTAACAATGTATTTCTGTTTTTTGGTATCTATGGAGAATTTGTTTGTTAAGTTAAGACTTTAGTATATTTTTTTTATAAGATAACGAGAAACATGCAATGGAACCTCTTGTATTCTGTTTTGGAATGCCTGACTTCATTTAGTATTTACTGAAGACAGATACAGAATTTATACAAGCCATACTAACTCGCATTATATGTTCAAGTTCACACGGGAAAGGGATGATGGATATGGGGGGTAAAACAGACATAATTGGAGAATCAAAGGGAAGGCAGCGGAAAAACATAATCAAAGAAAACGTGTTACAGCTATGTAGGAGTTGCTTCCCTTCTTACATGATGTACGTTAATGAGATACACGTATACGTGTCTCGAGTCTGAAACTGATATAGATAAAACGTTTATTCGTGCATAAATGCATATTAAAGCTTTCAAAATCTCTCTCAAGAATGAACATTTGGTATTATTTGATACATTTTACTGTTTTGTATACATGTAAATGTAACCTACAGTCCAGGTTATTATCCTTTTATTTATTTATTTATTTAATTTGTAAACCAGATTTTGCATTTGTCTATGCATCAACTTATTTTAAAGCTTAACAAATACGAAACTAATTTATCCAACTCACGCTGTCGACAGCTTTGACATTTCATCTTGATTTAATTATATTCTCAAAAACTCACGAGTTTGTCCGAAAACAATGCGCTATTTCAGCTGGAAGAAATTTATCACTTGTTGTTTTATTAGCATTAACATTTACTTTAACTAGTGAATACAAATATATATATGTATGTCAACGCCGTGAGGCTCAGAGCAATTGAGCAATTGAAACGATTGCTCCTCGGTAAGCTATTAGGCACGTCCTTGGCACTTCGACTCTCTGCGTCTGAGACGTCTAAATAGGGTCTCAAAATAATTACATAGATAGTGTTTATCTCGAAGCCGCTCCTGATGAAAATATTGGTTGACCGCGTCAAGCTAAAAAGGCAAGAAGACTGGATCCAAAATTATAATAAAATAAAGACCAAAGGGAGAGCCCCCTACGGGCAAATTCACTGTTCGTGAACAATCGGTAGACTAATCTTGTTCACGAAAATAGACATGCAGACATGTATGAAATGAAGTCGGCTATAGATTTTAATGTAAGTGACTTTTAACAACAAGTAAGGTTTCTTTGGTTCTATAAAACCGTGGGAGTAATTTGTCTGGTAACGAAAAGCACAAAGGAGCCAATTACTGGGTAAAAAACGTCTGCTTTAGGAGTCAGCGGTAACGAGGGTAGGACGTCCGGGGGTCGTGTCTCATATGAATACGTCCCGTAATTCCTCCTATCCCTGTCCTGGAAAACAAGTAGATACAAAAGTTCAGCAGGGGTCAATGTCTACACTGTAAGATGAACAACTGTATGCTGAAGGTCATATACCTTCACGAGAGTTTCCAAGCGTTCTCTTTAGGAATGTGTATTATATATTGAACCGGTTCCTTTCGAGTATGGATATGACCTCTTTTATAAACAGGGCTATTTCGACAAGTCTAGCATTATATACTATAGGTAACATACAATTGTATTAATTAGTGTAAGACAGATACAAACACATGTGTAGATATATCTATGTATCATTTGCTGCATGTTGTTTGCTTTAGATCGGAGCGCCACCGGAAGTTGACAATCGCTGGTAAAAAAGAGAAACGACACTGGAAGTCGGCGCCTCCGGAGGTAATGGTTCTAAGCCTCACCATGAATGCCCTTGACCTAATTACGTACACAAACAAGCCTCGACAAACTCCATATTTGACATTTCATTTCCTGAACTCGATGTAAAGCCCTTTGTAAAATTGATTTGCTAGAATACGCCATGTCGGAATGATTGAGCGGCCTGTCCCTAAGTAGCTCATCGTGTCCGTCAAATTCAGAAAGTCCACCTCGTGGAGGTTCCCCGTCACATCCAGAAGGCTCATCTGATCCCTTTACCCAATTTCAGAAACATTCATTGGTGTTTGTGAATGAGTGCTGGAGGGTACGGGAGATCCTAATTGTAGGTTAGACCTCATTAGCAGAGCGGATGTATCGGTTACCGATAAGACACATTGTATTCGATCAAAACAAAATACAGTGTTTTTTTTCTCACGAAAATTAAAAAATCAAATTACAATTCTAATTCTTAATTTTAGATAAAATCAGTAGTGCGTAAAACCTTAATAATTTGTATTCATCTTAATGTCTGAATGATTTAATAATACCACAATACTAATAAAAAATCTTAATTATTTATATTAATGGAGCACAGGACTTTTCGCGTGTTCTTTAAAGGAAATATGATGATTTTAGGTTTAGTCTGAGATAGAATTTCTTTCTTAGGAGCAAATAACATAAAATATTACAAAGGCAGGCATAATGCGGCATTACTTGTTCAGACCATAATTTAACTTAAGGTACATTGATGTTTTAAGAAATTAATATTTTTCCGAAATCAAACACAAAATCAGTGTTCACTATCACGTCACGGTCAAATAACACTATCACATAACACAGTCAAATAACACCATCACGTTACACTGTCAAATAACATTATCACGTTACACTGTCAAATAACATTATCACGTTACACTGACGAATAACACTATCACACACTGTCAAATAACATTCTCACGTAACACTGTCAAATAACAATAGCACGTAACACTGACGAATAACACTATCACGTGACACTGACAAATAACGTTATCACGTAACACTGTCAAATAACACTATCACACACTGTCAAATAACATTCTCACGTAACACCGTCAAATAACAATATCACGTAACACAGATAAATAACACAGTCACATAACACTGTCGAATAATACTATTAAATGCAATGTCAATCAACGCCATCACGTAACACTTCAAAATAACACTGTTTCATTCACTGGCAAATAATACTAACAAAGTCAAATGATGCTATCACGTACCACTTTAAAACAGCACTGTTTCATACACTGTCAAACAATACTCACAAGTAACACTGTCAAATAATATTATTAAATGCAATGTCAATCAACGGTAACATGTAACATTTTAAAATATCATTGTTTCATACACTGTCAATAATAGTATCACTTAGCACAGTCAAATAAAACTATCACGTAACACAGTCAAATAACACTATTAAATGCAATGTCAATCAACGCATTCACGTAACACTTAAAATTAACACTATTTCATACACTGTCAATAATACTATCACGTAACACGGTCAAATAATATTATCACGTAACATAATCAGATAACACTATCACGTAACACAGTTAAAAAACACTATCACGTAACACAGTCGAATAACACTATCACGTAACGTAACACTTTAAAATAACACTGTTTCATACACTGTTAATAATACTGTCGCGTAACACAGTCAAATAACACTATAACGTAACACAGTCAAATAACACTATCACGTTACACAGGTAAATAATACTATCACGTAAAACAGTCAAATAATACTATCACGTAACACGGTCAAATAATACTATCACGTAACACAATCAGATAACACTATCACGTAACACAGTTAAATAACACTATCACGTAACACAGTCAAATAACACTATCACGTAACACAATCAGATTACACTATCACGTAACACGGTCAAATAATACCATCACGTAACTCAATCAGATAACACTATCACATAACACAGTTAAATAACACTATCGCGTAACACAGTCAAATAACACGATCACGTAACGTAACACTTCAAAATAACACTGCTTCATACACTGTCAATAATACTATCACGTAAAACAGTCAAATATACTATCACGTAACGTGACACTTTAAAATAACACTGTTTCATACACTGTCAATCATACTGTCACGTAACATAGTCAAATAATACTATCATGTAACACAGTCAAATAATACTATCACGTAACGTAACACTTTAAAATAACACTGTTTCATACACTGTTAATAATACTGTCACGTAACATAGTCAAATAATACTATCATGTAACACAGTCAAATAATACTATCACGTAACACAGTCAAATCAAACTATCATGTAACACAGTGAAATAACACTATTAAATGCAATGTCAATCAACGCTTTCACGTAACACTTAAAAATAACACTATTTTATACACCGTTAATAATACTGTCACGTAACACAGTCAAATAACACTATAACGTAACACACTCAAATAACACTATCACGTAACAAAGTCAAATAATACTATCACGTAACACAGTCAAATAACACTATTAAATGCAATGTCAATAAACGCCATCACGTAACACTTCAAAATAACACTATCAAACACTGTCAAATAATATTATTAAATGCAATGTTAATCAACGGTAACATGTAACATTTTAAAATATCATTGTTTCATACACTGTCAATCATACTGTCACGTAACATAGCAGTGAAATCAAACTATCATGTAACACAGTGAAATAACGCTATTAAAGGCAATGTCAATCAACGCCATCACGTAACACTTCAAAATAACACTATCAAACACTGTCAAATAATATTATTAAATGCAATGTCAATCAACGCTTTCACGTAACACTTAAAAATATCACTGTTTCATACACTGTCAATAAATCTATCACGTAACACAGTCAAATCAAACTATCATGTAACACAGTGAAATAACGCTATTAAAGGCAATGTCAATCAACGCTTTCACGTAACACAGTCAAGTAATACTATCACGTAACGTAACTCTTTAAAATATCTATTGTTCATACACCGTTAATAATTCTGTCACGTAACACAGTCAAACAACACTTTCACGTCACACAGTCAAATAACACCATCACGTAACACAGTCAAGTAATACTATCACGTAACACAATCAGATAACACTATCACGTAACGTAACACTTTAAAATAACATTGTTTCATACACTGTCAATAATACTGTCACGTAACACAGTCAAACAACACTTTCACGTCACACAGTCAAATAACACTATAACGTAACAAACTCAAATAACACTATCACGTAACGTAGCACTTTAAAATAACATTGTTTCATACACTGTCAAACAATACTCACAAGTAACACTGTCAAATAACATTCTCACGTAACAACGTCAAATAGCTATATCACGTAACACTGTCAAATAATATTATTAAATGCAATGTTAATCAACGGTAACATGTAACATTTTAAAATATCATTGTTTCATACACTGTCAATAATACTGTCACGTACCACAGTCAAATACCCCCATACCGTAACACACTCAAATAACACTATCACGTAACAAAGTCAAATAATCCTATCACGTAACACAGTCGAATAATACTATCACGTATCACAGTCAAATAACACTATAACGTAACACACTCAAATAACACTATCACGCAACACAGTCAAATAACACCATCACGTAACACAGTCAAGTAATACTATCACGTAACACGGTCAAATAATACTATCAGGTAACACAGTCAAATAATGCCATCACGTAACACTTCAAAATAACCCTGTTTCATACACTGTCAATCATACTGTCACGTAACATAGCAGTGAAATCAAACTATCATGTAACACAGTGAAAGAACACTATTAAATGCAATGTCAATCAACGCTGTCACGTAACACTTTAAAATAACATTGTTTCATACCCTGTTAATAATACTGTCTCGTAACACAGTCAAATAAGACTATAACGTAACACACTCAAATAACGCTATCACGTAACAAAGTCAAATAATCCTATCACGTAACACAGTTAAAAAACACTATCACGTAACAAAGTCAAATAATCCTATCACGTAACACAGTTAAATAACACTATCACGTAACGTAGCACTTTAAAATAACATTGTTTCATACACTGTCAATCATACTGTCACGTAACATAGTCAAATAATACTATCATGTAACACAGTGAAATAACGCTATTAAAGGCAATGTCAATCAACGCTTACACGTAACACTTAAAAATATCACTGTTTCATACACTGTCAATAAATCTATCACGTAACACAGTTAAAAAACACTATCACATAACACAGTCAAATAACACACTATCACGTAACACAGCCAAATAACACTATCACGTTACACAGGTAAATAATACTATCACGTATCACAGTCAAATAACACTATCCCGCAACACAGTCAAATAACACTTTCACGTCACACAGTCAAATAACACTATAACGTAACACAGTCAAATAATACTATCATGTAACACAGTGAAATAACGCTATTAAAGGCAATGTCAATCAACGCTTTCACATAACACTTAAAAATAACACTATTTTATACACCGTTAATAATACTGTCACGTACCACAGTCAAATACCCCCATACCGTAACACACTCAAATAACGCTATCACGTAACAAAGTCAAATAATCCTATCACGTAACACAGTCAAGTAATACTATCACGTAACACGGTCAAATAACATTCTCACGTAACACCGTCAAATAGCAATATCACGTAACACGGTCAAATAATACTATCACGTATCACAGTCAAATAACACTATCACATAACACAGCCGAATAACACTATCACGTAACGTAGCACTTTAAAATAACATTGTTTCATACACTGTCAATAAATCTATCACGTAACACAGTCATCAATAATACTATCACGTAACACAGTCAAATAACACTTTCACGTCACACAGTCAAATAACACTATCACGCAACACAGTCAAATAACNCAAACGCTCTCTGATCGATCAAATCGCGACATCTGAGAAAACTTATTAGAGCTTTTACTAGGCAGCCCTTAGGTACGCTATATTGTGTGTATTGCTGTTGTTTTCGTTAATTACAACAGATCTCACATGAATCAATCTTCTACATTTGCAGAGGAAGGCAAACGATGACAGGAGCCAGGTGTCATTTGGGGGACAAACGGAAGTGAAGAACGACATTTGCAGACGAGAACTCTACGTGACGCTAGAGGGCGTTGGAGGGTCGCCGCCTACAGGAGAAAATGTTAGGTTCATGCACCACTGCCAGTTAAATACTTATGGAAATTTACCGGACATTCCTGTGGCAGGGCATTCAAATCTAAATATAGCAATGAAAGGTCAAGGTCAAAGTGATGGAAATTCCCCGGAATCTCCAACAGTTGGCACTTTTAATCTTAACATGAAGAGTGGAGATCGTAGGGAGTCCTATGAACATTATTATGAAACCCTCGGTAGGAAATCGTCAGCAAAATCAAGCATCAGCGACGACTATAAAACGTTTCGAGACAGCAGTGTGAAACTGGAAACTCCCTCAGTGGATGACGCACGGACTAATGGCGAAGACAAGTCGCCTGTAGATCATCTGTATGAAACCCTTTCCTTACGTAACGGTCTTAGGTGCAACCTGGACTTTCCTTCGTGTGGCAAAAGCGTGGACACGCCACTAGCGGGAAATGTTGTAAGGCGATGGGAGTACCAAGCCACGCTTAATCGTAAAGCTCGAGTAAAGTGGACGGACGCCCTCGAAGGGTGAAATACGACTACAAAGATTTACTTTATTTAAGTGTCTGTTAATTTTTAATATACAGGGTATGTCTGAATGTATTTAATATGGACGCGCTCATAATGATTTAGTTTACCGAACTTATGGAAGTGTGACCACTAATGAATGTGTTTTTAACAATATGAATCCACTTACAGATTAAAGAACAAATGCTGAATGCTGTGAATCAAATATTGATTTGCGGAAAATGATGTAATGAATGAGTCAAAGTGATTAACATATTAAGTTATTTAACTGATTTATCATGAAGAAACTGAAACGTTATACAGTTTGTTGGTTTTCGTTTGAGATTGTGACGTCATATAGGTTGTCAGTTGTAATTGGAACCCTTAGTACACATTTAAGAGGTACTTATGTTTTACCTTGCTAAAGATTTTCTTTTATAAAATATGATATTGGTACAAAAATATTTAATATATATCAGTATTGCTATTTATAAATGACTTGCTCTATATACATCACTGTAAGTAAGTCCTATTTCTTAAGCCCTCAAATTTCACGTTAATTCACAAAGAGAAAAACCTTGAAATTTGTATTTCTCCCCAGTATGTTTTCAGGCTTAAGTAAAAAGACATATAACAGTTGGTGTTTCATTCACGAAATGAAATCATCGTTAAAAAAATATTTACGAAAAATATCTGAAAATAGAGAATAACGAAGCAATCATATTAACAGATATTCCCATACTTTACTGTTGATCAAAATACGAATGTACACGCATCTCTTTGCTATTACAACAAGACTAAGACAAGTGGTGAAACATAGAATGTATGTAAGGTTAGAAGTAGCACCCGTTTTTCTTTAGATGAGAAGCGCATAAGCCATGCAGACGTACAGAGACAGAGGTATCATGGGTGTCGGCTATGCATGATTGGCAGGTTACGTGTGATCTGACTGGTTTTACAATATGAAGAGAGATGGGTTTCGTATGATTGAAGACACTGCCTATGTAACGATCTTAATAAATATATATATAAATATACATAAAACATAAATTATCATGTGTCCATTTCAGTAACATTCCGTAACTTATATTGGCCTACTATAACTGGCATGTGTGTATTCCGTCTGCGTATTGCAGAGTCATCTTCTCTTGGGAGCAGGTATTGACTGTTACGTCACTTGTTTGTGAGAATGACGTCATCAATTTTTGAGAAAACGACGTAATTTTCTCACACAGACCAATGACGTAACAATCAATACCTGCTCCCAAGAGAAGATAACTCTGCAATAAGCAAAGACGGAATAGAAGAGCTACTTACGATATGGAGTTACCTCCCCTGTGACAATATATAATTTTACACTGTTACAGGGCGGTGATGTATAACAAAATGTCATGAGCTAGCAAACCATCATAAACTCCCTGCATGCTTTTAGTTCTATCGATGATAAGACGACAGTAGGCGGCTTATATGCCATTTTCTATTGTATATGATATTCTGGATGTAAGAGTAATACCCATGATTCATATTTAGTAGCCATTAGTTGATATATGATCCCATGTCTCATATATATGTATACACAACGACAAATTAAACTTCCTTTCATACAGCTCCGGCGGTGTTTTGTCTTCATCTATAAAATGTCATGTAGAAAACCACGACAGGCTTTATGGTGAATTTTATTATATACCTGAAGGTTATATGTAACTTTCTAATGAATTCCATCTACGTTCCGAAAGAATTTCACCCACTAAAACATGTAACACAACTATTTTTATAAATGGTAATCCCAGAATTCGGACAGAGTTAATTATTAAGGACATAACATGGAAACATGATTGATAACACCCATAAAATTCAAACTAGGAGGTAAAACAAATTAAATGTTAAAAGAAACTTTAAAGCTGACAGATAACTTGGAGGTAATTTATCAGAAACAGGCGCAGTATGAATGTTAAGATTTTCCGAGGAAAGAATTCCATTACTTCTCAAACCGCTTTTCTGAGTTATCAAAGAAAATCCATACCGCTATAACAAACGTAGAGCGGAAACCCTAAAGCCTTTGATCATTGTCGGATTAACGAGTAAATCCTTTGTAATCTAATGACGAACAGTCAGGTTATATAGGTATCCAACATTTCTTTGAACATAGTAACAACAGAAAGTAATTCAAATGGTACATTTCCAGCTTTCATCTTTATGTCATTTCAAGGGATATAACTCTTGGATACAAAACAATATTGCTTAAAAATACTTTGGAATCATCAATCTATTGGAAAGGCTTGAGTCTTTGTGCAGTGTTTGGTCTAACTAGGTAAAGCGTTGAAATCGTATTCTTCTGTGATAAGCTTTGAAGTTCAAGTCTATGTCAGGGAACGAATGCAACCGAGGTCTGCGAACAGCGATGACTCATCCACAGGCCTTGTTAAAAAACATTGTACTCAAACACATTTTCATTTCACACGAACACAGAAAATCGATCGTTAAGTTATTGTTAAAGAAAATATACTTATTTCTATTGAGATGTATACAATTTTAAAACAATTTAAATAATAATGTCGTGGAAATTTTAACATTCAAATCACGTCTTTGTCACCAGTATGCCCCGCGTTGTCCTGTTCGTATGAGAAATTGCATGCCAGTTTGTCGTTACATTATCATGACTATAATATACTCATCTGGTGACGATAAATAATTTTGTACACGATGACAAATAGGACCGATTCAAATTTAGTTGTTAACGGGGAAAATGTCATTATATTTTAAACAATAATTTGCAATTGCACTTCTTGTATAAAATTACGCCGTTTGATAATATTGATTGATGAGGAAAACGACATATTGTAATGTTGTATTCAATTCTGCAGAACCTTATTTATCCCATAAGTACACAAGATGAACTGATAAAGATACTAAAATCTAAACCAAGGAACTTAACAAAATTGTCAACGGGCCGGAAATTCTTTGATTTCATTACATCAAATTCCAAGAATAGGTTATCATATTTGCATTTCTTTTATTTGAGACATAAAATTTAATCTCACAAAGAATTACGGAAATCATGTTGAATTGGAAGAGACTGTTATATCGTTCTTCACTCAATTAGCTTCTCAGGCCTCGGGGGCGAGCCGCCATTACGCGTCGTGTCAGATCAAACCTCGTATGAAGAACACGTGATCATGCACTAGCAGGGCGTGTCAAACTTTGGAGGTTCCCGTGTGTATCCCATCTTGATTATATACATATGCTAACTGAGGATTAAGGTTACATGATACATTTTAGTTGGCATTTGTTTCTTTGATGCCGCAATTAACGACAAAACAACACATTTGTAGATAAAAAGGGAGTTTATATATCAAGTGTTTAGACGACAAACGATTCTGACAAGAATCATGGTTGTAGTTCTGTATTTCTGTGTTATTAAGTCTTTATTTTTGAAGCACATGTTCATGTATTTATGTACGTCTCTCATCTCCTGCAAATCGTTCCTCAGCCTACAATATTACCACACCGATACCCATTCCCTTTTGTACCCTGTGAGGTAGGCCGTGATGAATGACTACACCAACGATGTAACGTGTTTATCATACGATTTATTGCCTTTGCTATACGAATACATTCACTCGTTTGACAGTTTAAGGATGACGGTTATGTCTTCTGTCATGTTGCAAATATTCTTTGCAGAATTCATTAAAAGTTTGCAGCTGCAAACATGACCTTGGTCTACCTTGTTATTTATGTAAGAGAACAGCATGTCGTTTTACAGAATCTCACTCAAGAATCATTAGGTTGACGTGTCGTAAATTCTATGGTCCTCGTATACAAGTCAATATTCGGGTAAAATGTGGGACAATTCACTGACTGTGTACAATAATGACAAAAACTACCACACCCCTGTCTATAAAACACGCCTTCTTCACACACAGCAATGCCGGTAATGCGAGGAATATGGCACTTGGGCATATTTGTAGGTTCTTTGTGGAGATAGACACGTCAGAGAAGTTGGTCACATTGACGCTCTGTTACAACTCAATCCAAAGTAACGCACCTCTTCATTGCCTTCTGTATATACTGTCGATTTTAGTCAATTCACTGTTACTTTGTCATAGTTAAACATGGTTGAAAGCAGCTATGCGCTGGGCTCCTTCGGTTGCGTCGACATTATACCATGTACAAACATACGGTTGAGTGCCTAATCACATCTGGAACCAAGTATGACTGAGATTGACTAGTTATTGCTACACTTCTATTCCTGTAGGCAATATACAGTTGTACGGCTCCTTGATGGAATTACTCAATCGCCCATAACACAGACTATCATCGTGTTGTACAGATCAGAAACATTCCCAGTCGGAGCGGACTGCAGACATCCCATGACATGTAGTGTTAGCCTACTTCTTACTCGTCAGCATCTCTGTATTCTTCTGCATGTATATTGTAAACAGCAAAACGCGATCTAGAGAATAACAAAGACCAGCCCACACCAATGCAAAAATGATTCATCGTTTTTGTGCTGCAAATATAGGAATTTAAGCATTGGGTTGATTTCGTTTATTAAAGTTGCATTACGGTGTATTTTTTTCTTTTTAAAAGTCAACCCGACCTTCTGTGACATACAACTACAGGGAGGGACAACTGACCATATGAAGCAATTTACACAGCTTGCAATTATAAAATCAGAAGAGAGTCTATACATTTAAAAATGTGGATTACTTAACTGTAACTGACAGGTATAGCGGAATAAAAACGAAAGATTTTCATACACGTACCATTTGTTTCAAGTGTGAATATTGTCAATACACTTTTCAACATTTCATTTATTTTGCTGGACACGAATATTAATGATCGGATGGCATAACAAACATTAACCTGTCACATTAGCAAATTCATCTAAAATGAGATCTTCGCCAACAAAGGTAAAATGTAGCAACCAAATCGTTCGCCTGTGCTGTGAACACACTAATCGAAACCAAGTTTTTAAGGTGCAATAAAAGTAAAACCCGATAATCAGTTAAAAACATTTCAAATAAGTTAGCATGCACTGAAAATAAATTAGATATGAAAATAAGTATAATTGACTGAGATCAACAATATCTTTACAGATTGAACAATTTCACAATCAAAGGAAATGTTGAGGTAATGCGCATATATATCACATTATAGATATATGTATGTTCTTCAGCAAAGGTAGTCGTGTTTTCTCAATTTCTGCATACCTTATCATATTTTTTTCTTCAGATTTTCAGATTCTATTTTCAACACAGAGACTCATGAAAATGTGTAACATGAGGTACATGTATATGAATTTATATGTTAAATTATGTTATCCAAAAACAGATAATCAACTTTACCTCATGTGACACACTCAAGTCCAGCAAAAAGGCTAAATACAGTTATTTTTCTATTCTACCGTCTTCGTTTAGTGATGAACGTGGCAGAGTTCTGTTTTTATTTTATTTTGTTTTTTTGTAAATTTAGTTTAATTTATTATCCATTGATTAAAATTCATCTTTAATTGTTAACTTAACGTCAAAGAAACTCACAATGAAGCATCAACCTTCAGGATATAATTATATATAAAAACAACAAGAAAGAATATTTTCACCAGACTAATTAGCTCTCCTAATATAGTCTCTTTCCCGTCATATCCGTCCGCTGGAAGTATTTAATGTCCTTAATTAGCAATGGACAATAGCTTTTAAACGTACGCGGTGTAAGTTTAAGAAAAATCGCAGTAATTCGACATAATGAAGGCGATATGCACCGATATACTGAAGGCTAGATAACTCGACTTAATGAGAAATTCTTGCATGTGCAATCTATTATGTTTGGTGAGGCTTTTCTTTGTTCATAATCTCCTACTGTTTAAAAACTGATATACAAACTAAAATTAAATATATTGATAACATAAACAAGAGTATAAAATACATAATAAACTTTCCAGCATTTTTTTAATGTTGAAAGTGAATTACAACTAGTGTAATTACGATCTCATATATATTCTTTCAATATTCCCTGTTAAAAATAATGTTCATGTTACTTCCACGTATTTTACGAGCCTACCAGCTCAGAGTCACTGCTGATGATCTATTATTAGAGGAGAATTAGCGTATAATCCATTGTCAGAACTTTTCTAGGAATAACGCACACTGCTAAGGTTAATGGACAATACGACCACCACTAATGCTTTCATCAGACAACCAAGGAGAGTCAACC